ATCTCTACACAAAAATGTTACCTCTAGAACAACAAAAGAACCTAGTAGATGTGGTGGGTGCTGAGGGACAACTGCTGTTTCTTCCTAGTGTCAGGGAGGGAGCGGGTCTCTGCTTATCAAATAATTTCCAGAAATTTAACAAAGTTGTCAGGGCCTCATATTATATTTGTGGCAATGTCCCATCCACTTTTCTGAGCTCCCTTTTTCAATATTTGCATGTCCTGAATGTCCTCAGAGGATGTGTCATTAATGTAACATCGTCCCTGTGTTCTTGGAGGAACTAGGATGCAGCTCAGACCCCGCCTGCAGTAACTGTGGGAGGGCACAGCTGTGGAAGATCCATGAGGATAACCCAGTAAAGGGGCATCATGTCCCTTCAGAGGGAAGGCCAAGTGCAGCTGAGAGGCTGTGGACACAGGACTGGACAGAACAGACTCAGCCAAATCTGTGACAGCAGGATATTGATCACTTGCTGATTGGCTGTGGTCAGTAATTTCCAGACTGTGGGGACTGGGGACAGAGGTCTGTGTGGTGCAGCCACAGCCTCAAGTTGAGGTGAACCACTCTGAGGGGTCATTCATTCTCTCCAGGTTTAACGACAGGACAAATTGGGCTGTTAAAAGCACACTAGGAATAATCAGCCCCTCACTAACCAGGTTTCCTCTACCCTTCTCAATCCTTCCAGGCCCTGGGAAATTTACATTGGGCCACGTTAACTACTTTCTTTGTGGGGGAAGGTCCCTGGGCTTCCATTTTCTCAAGCCAATTTGTAAGTGGCAAAGACTTCATATAATTTTAATTCTTGAATAATTGGATCAGAGCTTCCCAGCTCACTATGGGATATTTCAGGACAATGGGTGTTATGACCATGGAGAGTTTAGGCAAAACCGTGCTCCTGATGGTTAAGGAGAAACCTTTGTCCTATTTGTCCTATATGCATTAATGCCCCTAAGATCAGCAGGGGCACGTTACTTACGTTTAATGGGATCCCAGGTGTAAACGTCATTTGAGACCAGGTATTGGTTAACTGCTTGAAGGTTTCTGAATTAGTGCATCACATCAGAGAGCAAAATTCATTCAGAACCCAGGGTGTAGAGGCCCAAAAGCCAAGCAGTGTACCTTTCTCTGTTTTGTTCCATAGACTCTGACAGCATATTTTTGACTACCAACGGGGCAAACTGTGGACCGTTGTTTCAGTACTTTACTGTATCCTTCCTCCTCACTTCTCTCTTTTTAAATGACAGCTGTTTCAGGAGCGACCCTGCAATGGGCCTGCCTGTGCCCCAACTCCAGGGTGTGTTAGGGCCAACCCAGCCTCTGTCACAGATAAATTCCAGCAAAGACATTGACCCACAACGGCTTTAAGGAGGACCCAATCCCATAACTCTGCTCCCAAATGCCTACGAATTTTCAAAACTGCCAACTCTGCTCAGCTGCACCTAGAACTGAGGTTGGTGGATCAACAAAGCAACACCGAGCAGCACAGCTCCCAGCACGAGCTCCCAGCAAGCAGCAGCCCACAGTGCATGCCACCACCAGGCAGCAGAGCAGGGGAGCAAGTCAGAGCAAGAGAAGACAGACCCTTTGTGGCCGGCCGGTGGCACAGCAGTTAAGTTCGCACGTTCCACTTCAGCGGCCAGGGATTCACCAGTTCGGAAGCCGAGTGCGGTTCGGAAGCCAAGGGCGGACCCACACATCACTTATGTAACCATGCTGTGGCAGGCGTCCCATATATAGAGTAGAGGAAGATGGGCACGGATGTTAGCTCAGGGCTAATCTTCCTCAGGAAAAAAATAGAGAGAGAGAAGACAGACCCACGGGTGGGGGTCATGTCTGGACATGCTGCTCAGGGCACCAACTGTCATGGTCACCTGCAGAGAGGTGGTTCCCTTGTTGGGACTGATGCCAGGACGGCACACACACACAGAGTAGGACAAGGCTTAGGACTCACATCATAGAGGTCTGAGGGGAGGGCAGGGCCGGCCTCTCAAGCAGCTCTGACAGGGCTCAGAAAGCAAGGAATGGAGCCTGGCCTGGGGGTTCACTGGGCCTGGGGGTGGGGCCAGGCAAGAGCTCTGCACACAGGCAGGCGCTGGGGTGGTGGGAATCTCCTGCCTGCTCTAGAGGAGAGAGCACCCAGGCTTCCTCCTCAGCTTGTCCAGGTGGGGGCACAAGGGAAGAGGGTGGGTGAGGCTTAAGCTGTGAGCAGGCACCCAAAAATGTGGAGTCTGACTGCTCACTACAAGGACAAAGTGGGTAAGAAAAACATGCATTCTCGATCAATTTATAAAGAAACACTAACAGGAGACTCAAAAATAACCAAAACTGTACTTGAGGGTGGCTGGAGTACCAGTGCTGGAGGGGACCAGGATATATGAGGCAATGAATCTTACACATTTATTTCAAATAAACAGAGAACTTTAAGTATACTGTATTTTACTATTTAACAGTCTTTTATTTAAACTTTTGTACATAGGAAATCATTCTAACATTTAATTCCTTTAAACATTATCAGTTACAAAAGTGTAAATTATTGAAAGCGAAAATATTTAAATGTCTTTCTAGATATAAGGACATGCAGCATCCAGGTTTCCGGCCCCTCTATCTCCCACTGGGGTGTTTCCAGGAATAAGCAGGATATTATAATGCAATAGGGGTTTGAGGTTTGCCACTTAAATACAGGAGGATTTTGGAAGATTTACATAAGCTTTCAGAAGATTCCCTCAAGTCAATTAAAATAGGCATTTCATTGCTTTAGCCTTTTAACTTCGTTTGTTCTCTAGGAATATGCACATACAAAAACTGATCTAAAAATGAAATATGCACCTGAGAACTTCAAAACATTCATCTCACATCTTGAGGTTCTCTGGCCTAAATGGAATAGAAATTCTATTTGTTTCCAAAATTTTCTTGCTTTGCTCACCTCCTATCTCTCCATCAACTTACAGTCTCAGGGCCCAAGTACTAAGGGAAACTAGAGCCAAAGGGCTGCACTAGTCCATCGAGAAAGGAATCCAAAGGGAAGAAACACAAACACTGGAATCAGCTCAGATGAGCAGCCTGCTTCCCACAGGACAGAAGGAAAGCCACGGTCAGAAGGTCCCATGTTCCTGACTCTCCTGGTGGAGACAGAGCCCTGGAGGGGGTCAGTCCCTGGAGAAGGAGGGGAGGGCACCTGAGCAGCCACAGGAAGGAGCTCTGGGAGCCCCACACACCCTCCTCTCCCCAGGGAACAGTGCACATGCTCACTCTCTCAGGCTCCATTCTCACCGTGAGGAAACTCAGCTGGATCCAGTTTAAGGTTCTGACCCAAATGGACCCCAGATGAATGGGCCCTAACCCAGGACACAAGAGCTCCTGACTCTCACAGACTTTCTCAGTTTAAACAGATTATTCTGAGTGCACCTACACTGTGGATGCAAAACTCCAACTATGTCTAGAAACAGGCCCAAGGAATACAGTGACAACCTCAGAAAGGGCGTCACTCCCCACCCCATGAGCACGGGCACCCCCAGCTTTCCAGGGCTCTGCAGCTCCTCTCAGGATAAAGGCTCCTTCCATGGGGGTTTGAGCAGTAGGACACCTGCAGGGGGAGGCTCCCCAGGAAGGACAACTGGGCCTTCAAGGCCTTCCATCTGCAGGCCCAAGGGGTCCTTAGCTTAGACTCACTGCCCTCAGGTCTCTGTCCCCACTGGAGTTTTTCTGGACCATCACTCATATTTTAAATACACAAACCCAGTGGTTGAACAATCCAACTATAACACTCAAACCAGTGTCGATGTGGAAATGAGGGAAGACAATTGCATGGCACTTTGCTGGCTCAACAAAAAACCCCACAAGAATGTACTGCATTGTGGGAAAAAAGATGTTAATTGTTATTTCTAAGACAAGAAATTTCTTTATAAATTATTAATCTTACTTGAACACTGCAGGTCTGCAAGTCTAAACCCTAGAAATCCATTTGAACTCACCGAAAATAAAAGAACAATCCTCAGAATGTTACTGTCACACTCAAGGGAGGAAAAAAGAAAAACAATGTTTAAATCGTGGAATGTAAAACTGGAATATTTTATTTTTTCTGAAATTTACCTCTTTCTGCCACTTGGGAGATATTTTATATCGTCTTTCAAGCTGTATTCATTAAATAAATTTTTATTCATGGCAAACTGAGACTAAATTTAAGTGAATATACCTTTTCAAGGTGACAACCCCAGGGAGGGGCAGCACTGACAGGACAGATCGCCCGGAAAAGTTTCTCAAGAGGAACCTGCAGCGAAGGACTGCCAGCTGCGCGTCCGCGCCCAGGTCGCAGCCTGCAGGAGAGGCGGGAGGAGCTCGCACCACGCGCCTCCAGGGGGATGCGCTACTTTCTCTCAAGAAAAACATCCACGAACGAGGAATAAACCCTCTTAAAAGAGCCGCCCACTGACTACGGAAAAGTGATAACTAAAATATCGGGTCTGTTTGTGGTTGATAACGATGCGGGGAATCAGGAACCGGAAGTTGGCGTTCGGGAACGCGAGGAGGGATCTGGAAATTTAGGGATTTACTGTCGGTCCTGGAAGAGCTGGGGGGACAGGGTCGCGGATTTGAGACCCTGCTCCCCAAACACTTAGAAGACTCAGGAGAAAACGGGTCCCCTCCGAGGAGAAAGGAGGCCCTGGGGACCCACAGACCGCAGCCCCTCCGCGCACGGACCCCGGAGACCGAGGCCCGACTGTCCTGCGGGCCCTCCCGCGGGCCCCGCACCGTCTGGGACACGCGGGGCTGCGGGCGCACAGCGGCCCAGAGACGCTCCCGCCCAAGTCGCCGCGCGCAGGGACCTCAGGACGCCCGGGGCCCGGCTGCCGGCCCCGCCCCCACGCTGCGGCCGGAGGGGCCTGAGGGCCGAGCGGCGCCACCGCGGACTCGGGGCCGCAGAGCCCGGAGGGGACCGCGGGAGGCCGGGCCCGCCCCGCCGCTTCCCACCAGCCCCTCCTCCTCCGGGGCTGAACTCTCACCATTGCTGAGGCTCGTGGGGCCCCCGGCGTCCTCCCCACGACTCGGTACAGGTCACAGCGCCACGGAATCCGCGGCGGAGCAACGTGGCGTCCTTACGAGAAGCGACCCGCCATCGGAAAGACTGTGGAATGACAGGAAGTCGGGGGTGGTTGCGGACGTCGCCCCGCCCACCTGCCCGGGAACCAACCCTGATTGGACATTTCAAAAGACCCCGCCCCCTCACTCGGGAGTGACAGCAGGATGGAGATCCTGTGTCTGAGCTGACCTGGCGCTGTACCTTGTCCTCTCCGGGGACTCTTCCATTGAGGCCACTCGAGGAACTGTAACCCTTTGCAAACATAGACACTCAAAAGTCACCTCATGGTGTGTAATGATTAATCTGACTCCACTTTGATCTCTGACTGTTGACAGTGTTGCGTCTTCCACCCAGCGCTTCCCCACCCCCTCAGATCAGACTTTAAGGAATCCTATGGCCTCACAAACCTTGGCTCTGATGGGACGTTGGAACCGCAGCCCCAGCTGGGCGCAAGGTCTCCTCGCACTCTAAACACATGGTGTGAGGCGTGTTCATTCAATTCTCAGGTGTATGTTTTACCCTGGAGGGAAATTTATTTTAGATCATTTCTTTAATGTATCCTGAGAGAACTTTGAAGTGTGAAGGCTATAATATCCCTAAGGTAATTCAATTCCTGTTTGGACTGATAGGACAAAAAACCAGAAAAGGTTATGTAAATATGGGATGTACATGGAAAATATTCATAGGCTTAAAAGATTAGATTGCAAAACTCATTTGCATTGCAAAACTCAATGCATTTATCCACTTATTTGAACAGTTTTCTTAAGATACAATACACATAGTATCCGTCGGAGCCCTTTCATGTCTACAACTCACTGGTTTTCCATATATTCACAGATATGTGCAATCATTACCACAGTCAATTTCACAACATTTCCATCACCTAAAAAGAAACGCCTCTACCCTTAACCTACCACTGCCCTGTCTTCCCACTTAGCTCCTCCAAGCGCCAGCCCCAGACAACCACTGATCTATTTTCTGTCTCTATACATTTCCGTATTTGTTGACTTTCAGAAGAATGGAATTATATAATATGCGGTCTTTGCGTTTGACTTCATTCATTTGGTATAAATTTTTCAGGAAATTCCATGTTGCAGCATGTATCAAAACTTCATTTGTTATTTTTAAATTGAGACATAATTGACATATACCATTATATTCATTTCAGGAGTACCATAGTAAGTCTAGTTAAGATCCATCACCACACATAGTTATAAATTTTTTTCCTTGTGATGAGAACTTTTAAGATCTACTCTCAGCAAATTTTAAATATACAATTCAGGGGCCGGCTCCGTGGCCTAGTGGTTGGGTTCGCGCGCTCCGCTGTGGCGGCCCAGGGCTCGGATCCTGGGTTGGACATGGCACCGCTTGTCAGGCCACGTTGAGGCGGCATCCCACATCCTACAACTAGAAGGACCTGCAACTAAGATATACAACTATGTATGGTGGGGGAGGGGTTAGGAAATAAAAAATTAAAAAAAAATATATGCAATTCAGTAGTATAAACTCCAGTCACCAGGCTGTACATTACATCCCCGTGACTTATTTATTTTATAACAGGAAGTGTGTACCTCTTGACCACCTACTATATTTATTCCATACAAGTTACATCTATCCATATTTAAGTGTATGGTTCACAGTGTGAAGTACACTGGCGTTGTGAAACCAATCTCCAGAACTCTTCATCCTGCAAAACTGCAACTCTACCCATATTAGACACCAACAGCCCGTTACCCTTGCCCCAGAGCCCCTGACAACCACCATTGTGCTGTGTGGATGAATCTGACCACTCTAGGCACCTCATATCACTGGAATCATACAGTTTTTCTCCTTTTTTTGACTGGTTTGTTACACCTAGCATAATGTCCTCAAGGTTCACCCATGTTGTAGCATGTGTCAGAATTTCATTTCTTTTTAAAGCTGGATAATGTTCAGTTGTATGTGTAACCACATTTTGTTGATCCATCCAGCTGTAGATGAACACTTGGGTTGCTTCCACTTTTTGGCTACTGTGAATAATGATCCTATGAACACAGGTGTACAAATATCTGTTTCAGTCAATGTTTTGAATTCTTTTGGGTATATACTCAGAAATGGAAATGCTGGATGATATGGTAACACTCTGTAATTTTTGAAAAACTGCCGTACTGCTTTCCACAATAGCAGCATGATTTTGCATTCCCACCAGAAGTGCACAGGGGTTCCCATGGGTGTTTTCACTTGCCTGATGGTGTCCTCTGAAGCACAAAAGTGATTAATTTCAATGAAGTTCAGATGATCCTTTTTTTTTCTTTTTTACTGTTTTTGCTTTTGGTATCATATGTAATAATTCTTTGCCAAATCCAGGGTCATATTTTTCCGTTTTTTCTAAGAGTATTGTAGTTTCACCTCAGGTTTAGGTCTTCAATCCATTTTGGTAAATTATTGTGTGGTGTAATGTGAAAGTCCAACTTCCTTCTTCTGCATGTTGCTATCCAGTTGTCCCAGCAGCAGCTTTTGAAAAGAATATTCTTTCCTCATTCCTGGCACCGTTTTTGAAAATCAATTGACCAGAGATGAATGAGTTTGTATCTGGAATCTCAATCGAACCCATTGATCTGTGTTCTGTCCTTGTGTTATGACCACACTCCTTGATTACTCTGCTGAGCAGTCAGATTTGAAATCAGAAAATATTAATCTTACTGCTTTGTTTTACTTTTGAAGATTTGTTTGGCTATTCTGATTTCCCTGCAATTCCATATAATTTATGATGCAGCTTGTCAATTTCCTTTGTTAACTTAAAATGCAAATTTGCCTGTTATTTTATCTTAAAATAAGTTTATTTAAGAATAGCCAAAGAATTGCAATTTGGGGTGTGCACGCTGTGGCAAACCATAGGCAAATCCAGAAAACCAAGAAAAGGAGCTGCTTTTTTTTTTTTTTTTTTTTTAATTAATGTTATGCTAGATTACAACCTTGTGAGATTTCAGTTGTACATTTTTGTTAGTCATGTTGTGGGTACACCACCTCCCCCTCTGTGCCCTCCCCCCACCCCCCCTTTTCCCTGGTAACCACCGATCAGATCTCCTTATCAATATACTAACTTCCACCTATGAGTGGAGTCATATAGAGTTCGTCTTTCTCTGACTGGCTTATTTCGCTTAACATAATGCCCTCGAGGTCCATCCACGTTGTTGTGAATCGGCCAATTTTGTCATTTTTTATGGCTGAGTAATATTCCATTGTGTATATATACCACATCTTCTTTATCCAATCATCAGTTTCTGGGCATGTAGCCTGGTTCCACATCTTGGCTATTGTAAATAATGCTGCGATGAACATAGGGGTGCAATGGACTCTTGAGATTTCTGATATCAGGTTCTTAGGATAGATACCCAGTAATGGGATGGCTGGGTCATAGGGTATTTCTATTTTTAACTTTTTGAGAAATCTCCATACTGTTTTCCATAGTGGCTGTACCAGTTTGCATTCCCACCAACAGTGTATGAGGGTTCCTCTTTCTCCACATCCTCTCCAACATTTGTCACTCTTGGTTTTGGATGTTTTTGCCAATCTAACGGGTGTAAGGTGATATCTTAGTGTAGTTTTGATTTGCATTTCCCTGATGATTAGTGATGATGAACATTTTTTCATGTGTCTATTGGCCATATTCATATCTTCTTTTGAGAAATGTCTGTTCATGTCCTCTGCCCATTTTTTGATCGGGTTGTTTGTTTTTTTGTTGCTAATCAGTGTGAGTTCTTTGTATATTATGGAGATTAACCCTTTGTCAGATAAGTGGCTTGTAAATATTTTTTCCCAATTAGTGAGCTGTTTTTTTGTTTCAATCCTGTTTTTCCTTGCCTTGAAGAAGCTCTTTAGTCTGATGAAGTCCCATTTGTTTATTCTTTCTATTGTTTCCCTCAACTGAGGAGTTACAGTGTCCGAAAAGATTCTTTTGAAACTGATCTCAAAGAGTGTACTGCCTATATTCTCTTCCAAAAGACTTATTGTCTCAGGCCTAATCTTTAGGTCTTTGATCCATTTTGAGTTTATTTTGGTGTGTGGTGAAAAAGAATGGTCAATTTTCAGTCTTTTGCATGTGGCTGTCCAGTTTTCCCAACACCATTTGTTGAAGAGACTTTCTTTTCTCCATTGTAGGCCCTCTGCTCCTTTGTTGAAGATTAGCTGTCCATAGATGTGTGGTTTTATCTCTGGGCTTTCAATTCTGTTCCATTGATCTGTGGACCTGTTTTTGTACCAGTACCATGCTGTTTTGATCACTGTAGCTTTGTAGTATGTTTTGAAATTGGGGATTGTGATTCCGCCGGCTTTGTTTTTGCTCAGGATTGCTTTAGCAATTCGTGGTCTTTTGTTGCCCCATATGAATTTTAGGATTGTTTGTTCAATTTCTGTGAAGAATGTTCTTGGGATTCTGATTGGGATAGCATTGAATCTGTATATTGCTTTAGGTAGTATGGACATTTTAACTATGTTTATTCTTCCAATCCATGTGCAAGGAATGTCTTTCCATCTCTTTATGTCATCGTCAATTTCTTTCAAGAAAGTCTTGTAGTTTTCATTGTATAGATCCTTCACTTCCTTGGTTAAGTTTATCCCAAGGTATTTTATTCTTTTCGTTGCAATTGTGAATGGGATTGAGTTCTGGAGTTCTTTTTCTGTTAGTTCATTGTTAGTGTATAGAAATGCTACTGATTTATGCACGTTAATTTTATACCCTGCTACTTTGCTGTAGTTGTTGATTATTTCTAATAGTTTTTCTATGGATTCTTTGGGGTTTTCTATATATAGGATCATGTCGTCTGCAAACAGCGAGAGTTTTACTTCTTCGTTACCTATTTGGATTCCTTTTATTTCTTTTTCCTGCCGAATTGCTCTGGCCAGCACCTCCAGTACTATGTTGAATAGGAGTGGTGAAAGTGGGCACCCTTGTCTTGTTCCTGTCCTCAGAGGGATGGCTTTCAGTTTTTGTCCATTGAGTATGATGTTGGCTGTGGGTCTGTCATATATGGCCTTTATTATGTTGAGGTACTTTCCTTCTATAC